CTTCTGTGGGCTCTGGAAGCTCTGCCCCCCTCCATGAGGTTCACCGAGTGTTCTCAGAAGCTGCTCTTGCTCCTCCTGGCAGTGGCTCATCGTAACGCTGCCGTGTGACACAGTCTGTCAGCTCCTCTGAAACCACACTGCCTGCACTTGGATCAATCCCTTCTGAATTTCTGCTTACTTGTCTGATTATTTCTTTCAAAACTGATTGCCTTCATTCAGATTTTGGCCCCAGGCAGGTTTGATCTTTACTTCCAACTGCATGATTTTTTTTAAAATTGTAATGAAATAAGGAGAAAAACCTATGATGTAGTTTCCTCTCAACAAAACACAACTTTTGATTCAAAATGCCCAAGACCCTAAAACATGTTCTAAACAAAGTTATTTTTCAAGCTTCTATGGTGTTTTTTTCCCCTGACATTTACTTAAGCTATTTTCTTTCTTTCATTGTGAGGTGTAATCCAAATTTTGACTTTCAAATTAAGTCTTGAAGAGAAGAAGTTGCTTTGGAAATTTTTGGAAAAAAGTTTGCCATTGGGAACTTTTTTATTTTAAATGCTATATTTAGAGTAGTACGTCTGCCTAGCTCAGTTTTTCAGTTCAAAAAAATGGAAGGGTTTGGCTGATGCTAGGCAAACTGATCCTTCTCTCTTATGGCCATTTTATCACTATCTTTCAAATTATATATATTCTTATATATTGTTATATAAGAATATCTTTTCTGATTAGATCTGCCTGTATTATTGAACAAATATAGTCCCAAATATAGTCCTCCTATTCAGGAGTTATCTGCTAATTCCTCATAATTCCTTGTGTCTACTTATTTATTTACTGTTTACAGTTGCTCTCAGTGTAATGTGTTTTTATGACCTCTAGCATGTGAATCATTCATGTAGTGATTGCCAGGCATATTTGTATTCATTTGGGCTTTGATCTAATCCTATTGAAAACAAAGGAGATGTGGTATTGGCTTCTCTCTGGGTCCTGATTAGTGACCTACATCACCCTGGTTAGATGTCTGAAGTTGTATTAGCAGAATGGTCTCTTTCTTCTGCAGTTATTACGTGTGAATATTCATAATTGTTCATCAAATCTATTTTGCACAAGATAGAAGGCTTTTCATAATGGTCATGAAAGCGCTTTTGCCATGAATTCTTTCATTACATTGTTCTCATTTATTCATGCCAGTATTTGTAACACTTTTTCTGAGTAAGACCTCATGCACTGGAGTGTTTGAGATCAAGCTAATGGAAAAAATATGAAAAGAGAAAATATCAGCTGAGCAAGTAGCTTCTATGGCAGAACAGTAAATGAAAGCTTCTGGGCTGTGTTTGTACCTGCTGTCCCTCTAACCTTAGCTGGCCTCTTGGCATATACACATATAATATACATGTATTATATATAATATTTATTTTAAATATATGTGTGTGTGTATTAAAAATATATTGACCATTAAAGGCTGAATTATCTTTTTATATAGACATGACTATTACATGTGGTACTTTAGAGCCTTGGTTGGTTATAACAAAGGATGTGATGTTACTTTATCTGTATAATGGTGACAAAATAATTCTAGGCTTCTATTACATAGTTTATCTTCTTGGCAAAATTTATCCGCCTTGGATTCGTGCTTGGTGTGGCATTCTTGCATCAAATATATATGTATTTCATCTTGAGTTTCACCCAAGGATGTATGTAGGATAACCCTGAAAGCAGAGTGGCAAGCTGAGGTGTCATGGCAGAATCTTGCAGAATAGCATTTTCTGCTGCTGAGGCTCCTGTAAACTTGGAAGACAGCATTAGGATTTCTTAGCTGGGCTTATTAAATTAATAATGAACTCACCACTTTTCATATGAGCTTAATATGCCCTTAATGTTAGGATGTTCTTTTTCCTGTTTGAAAGATTGGTGGCAGTAAACAGAACATAATTACAACAAAAATGTTAATACTTGCCTATCATCATCTAAAAGTTGTCCTGTATTTTAAAAATGAAGCTGTTAGTTAAGAACATGCCAGCTGATGATGAATGTTCTATGATTTGAAATAACTGTCTTAGAAAATGTTATTCTCTCTGCTAAGATTCCAAGCTGCTAATATGTATAAGCATTAAAAAACTGGACCGGGCTGGCCCTTTTTTTATCTTTTTAAGAGATTAGCAAGAATAAGAGTGGGGGGAAATCAGTTTTCAAAGCATCAGTGGTTTCTATTCAATATAATATATATCATTAATATCCTAATTAACACAGATAAGAGCATTTGTGATTCCATACCTCTTACTGGAGCCTTGGAAAACCAAGTTTCTTCATTTTAGTTAAAACAATTTGAAATGTAGGGGTTTCAGAGATGTTGTCTATCTTTCTGAACAGTGCCACTCTTTTTCTAATTGTCTTGAGAACAGGATAATGTTTTTAAAGGGTAGAGGGAAACTTTCATTGCTGTAATAACTACCCTCTGAAGAATTGAACCAGAGAAAAATAAAATAACTGGGAGGCAAGGAGAGGGAGGAGATGGAGGGGAGAGATGATTTCTTGTGAGGTATTAACAGAATCAGGAGAGTAAAAGGGAAGAGAGTGGCTGGCTGATAATTTATTACACCATCTTTAGCAGAAAAGAGAATTAAAAGAAAAAAAGAACTTGGCTGTCAGTTATATAGCATTTTTCACCTATTCAATGTTATGAAGTGCCCAGAACAAAAATAAGGTCTGGCAAAGAAGATGGCATTGTGTGGAAGCCTCCAGTGTTTTAGCTCCACTGGTGGGAGTTGAGAGTAGGTGAACAGATTGTTTGCCATTAAACTAATCAATGCTAAATTAATTTCATATTATATGCCTGATAGTGATTCAAACCCTAAAAATATCCTAATAGTGCTCACTGTATAATACAACCACTCTTTTATTATAACTCTCTTTGTTTTACAAATCCTCTATATTCATCAAGACTGAATTGTCTAGTCTACCTCATTCCTTTTCAGGGCTGCATAACAGTTCTGGCACTGTTTGGAGAAGAGGTAGTTATAACAACACCCACTTCCTATCTCAGAAGTTATCAGCATGCCTTCAATCTAGAACTACAGTATAAATACTGATTTATGGTAATTAATGTAGTATTTGGTGGTGATGGCACTGTATATCCTTTCCTGTCATTAAATGCTCTGAGATTGGTAGTGTGACTCATCTACATTTATTTCCAGGAGAGATTTGTCAAGGAAGTAACCATCATAATCACTAATAAAACATTTAATGAATATTTAAATTAGGTCAGTTTGAGAGAAGACTGGTTTAACAGATACTGTGATTTCAGAATCAGATTTTGTGTAATTCTTGGGTACCTGGTATTGGGATGTGATGGTGCAGCTTCCCATAATATGCTGTGTCATATGGATTCATATTGGTACTGTCCTTTCATTTGACCAGAGCTGAAAAATTTTTAATAATTCATCTTGGAATACCTTCAACACAAGTATTTTGAATTTTGAAAAGTGCATCGATTGACACTGTTGCTGAGCAGTTACTTGCTGTTTCTAAACAAATGCTTATGTTTGCACTGCCTGTTTTTCATGTCTGGTGCAAAGATGATGCAATATCCTTCATAAAAGAGAAACGTGTGTCGTTCAGCAGACTATATATGTGTGCATTTCTTCTTAGTACTGAGGGTATTCCCAAGGGGATCTCTGAGCCCCATTGAGATTGAGCACCAAGTAAAACTGCAAAAGAAATTAGTATCCTGAAAGTAGACAAAAAATTGAAAGGAGATGTTTTTCTGCCTTTCCTAATATCACACAGTGCTTGCTTTTAGTACCCAGACCTCCTCAGTCCCTTCCTATGTCTCCCAGATGCACAATTTTCCTTAAGGACTTAATTAGAGCATTGCAAACTTTCAGGTAAACCCTTCTCTGTGCAAACTGATAATCCCTGAACTGTGTTTATTATTACTCTAAAACAATGTGGCTTTTCAGTACTTGGACTCCATGGGGCTCTCTCTAGGACATGTGTAGGATTCTACGATGAGAAGCAGTTCCATTCAATATTACATGCATTGTTTAGAGAAAGTTATGCCCACAGAGAGTAACTGTGGAATATGTACATACATTATTTACTGACGTATGTGCCATGTTCACATTCAGGATGGCCTAATTCAACATCTGCTCCTGATGAGAGTGAGCATCTGGTGTTTCACAGATAATTGAGACATGAGCTGACTGTCCTCTAGGTCGACCAGACAGACTGGAACCAGGCTCTCTGGGTAGATGGTAAGACCTGGTTCAGTGCCAGGTGTAATTCTGATCACACCTTTGTTGTAGGCTGGGATCAGAATAGGTTTTATCTGTTATAACCTCTATGCAAGCACAAGTACCAGCAACTTCAGTGTTGTGCCCCAGAATCAGAAGGAACAAGAGAGATGAAGATTTTTCCAACACAAAAGAGTAAAATGGGAAAGTTTTTGGAACTCTACTCCCATTAAACCTTTTCCTCCAATTTACCTATATGCATCTATAGATGTGTATCTGTGTGGATGTACAAAAGCAGGGAAATTATTTTTCTCCTGGCACTTGCTTTATGTTCCTTCCATAGGACCTATAAAGCAGTTATAACACAGTCTGCAGAACTGCAATACAATTGCAAGTATCAGAAATGCATTGCAAATTCAAGCTGCAATGCCAAGCTGTGCTAGTCTGCTTAAATGACAGCTTGTCCAGAATTTGCTGGTTTGATAGACCAGTTGCATTTATGCACTTCCTTTGAAAAAGAAGTAAGGATGGGAAAAAGCAAGTCTTAATCATCAAATTAAAAAACATATCCCACCAGACTCCATCAAAACAACAGCTATCCTTCAGAAGCAAACAGCATAAATATTGTCTCCATCTCCTCCTAGACTCCTCCTAGAAACGTTCCAGTCTTCAGAAGTTATACCATTGTGATTTCACTTCTGTTCAGTGTTTGCTGCATTTGATTGCCTCTGGCAGACCTGTTACCTGCATAACCATGGGGTGTTTTCTTGCCAGGCATTATCAGTCGTCAGGAAGCAGAGGAGTTGTTGATGAATAAATCTGAAGGCGCATTCCTGGTGCGAGTCAGTGAGAAAATCTGGGGCTATGCGTTGTCCTACCGCCAGCAAAACGGCTTCAAGCACTTCCTGGTTGATGCTTCGGGGGATTTCTACAGCTTCCTGGGGGTAGATCCAAACCGACACCCAACACTCACAGATCTGATTGATTTTCACAAGGTAACACTTGCTAGGTTGAGATCAATAGCTGAGTGGAATGGATTAATAATTTAATGAGGAGCCATGTAGCTTGAAACCACACTGGAAAATAGCAATGGCCATAATGAGAAAGAATATTGCACACTAAGCCCAGCTGTAACGTTCATACTTCCGTTGCAGTGAATCAGAAGGTTTTTCCCCTTCTTTCAAATGCTCCAGTATGTACTTGTGTCCCCTTATACAGTGTGTACTCTCCTTGGCTACAAATGGCCTAATAAGGGCTGACAGATGTAATGCTTTCTGAGCCTCTTTGCTGTGGAAAATTGGATTGGAAATACCATAGAAAGGTCTTTCAATGAAATTTCAGCATTTTTCTACCTTTGATGTGAGGGCTGTAATGTGCAAAAGCAAGAGAGTGTGACCCTGCACTAAAGAAGGGAACATGGACGGGCTCTCTTTTAGGGCTGTATTAAGGGTCACTCCTTATTACCCAAAACAATCTTGCAAGAGGAATTTACTATTCAACTTTAGATGGGTTTGAATTACTTTACCTCTAGGTTCTGTTTCTTGTTGCCAGACTGTAACTAAATAGTAGTACTGTTTCTGAAAGCATAAATTGTTTTCGTCTTGCATCTCCCTGTCTTCATCAGTTTTAATTCTGTTTTTTTTTTCTTAGCCACCCTTATAGTTCCTCTTCATCCTTTCTTTTCTAGTTCCTCATCCTATTTTATCCTTTTCTCACTCTTTCTCAGAGTAATTCTATAAATTTTTTGCTCCTCCTTTTCTTCACAGCTTTTAATTTTTAAAGTATTCAGTTATTTTTCTTCGAAATTCCCTGTCTTTTAAATCTTGCTTTTATCTCACTTGTTTTGCAGCATCTGTTTAGTGTTGACTTAGTGTCCATCAGAGATCACTATGACATTACATGACCACAAATTATATTTCCACATGGGGAGATGGTAGGTGTAGCATTTGACTAAAATATATGTCCTCCCCTAATTTAAAGAAAACCTTTCTCAGTGGCCACCTTGTCAAATCCCTAACACCCTTCTTGTACAGAATGTCCTTTTGGCAAATTTGGGTTAACCAGCTAGGCTGTGTCCCCTCCTAGTTCTCCCTTATTCCCAGCCTACTCTGCCAGCAGGGCCTGAGTGGCAAAAAGAGAAAGCCTTTGTGCTGTGCCAGCAGTGATGAGCAATAGTTAAACTGTTTTAGCCACAAATTCAAAGCACAATGTCACAATGGAGCACAGGCAGCTGTGATGTTCCATCCCAGCCAGCCAGCCCCAGTGCACCTGGAAAGAGTCTAACCAGGGCTTTGTCAGGGACAGAAAAGCAGACATGCACACCTCAAATGCAGATTATCAGGTGTTGGATGTGGAACCACTGGCTAATGTAGTTTTCCCTCTGGTCCTGATGGCGACAACCAATTCCAGCCATCTGTGTTCCAGCTATGTTCCTTTATTTTCATCACAGCTCACATTAGGCAATCACATTATTAGGAACACATCTATTTACAGACAGCAGTAGATCACTTGTCAGAAGCAGAATGGCTTTTAGTTCCTGCCATTTAAAAAAAGGAAAAAACTTGCTTAGGTGTCCGTGATAAGAGTTAATAGCTGCCCCAGCAGTAAGCCTAGGAAGGAAACCAGTTCACCTTTTATACCAACACACAATTCTATTTTCCCTGTCTAGCTTATGGCTGTACTAAAACTGGTACCTTTGGCAATCACCTCAGGAGGCATTTTATCATGTCTGTCACATGGTTTTCTTAGAGTCTTTTCTGCCTGCCTTCTCTGGTGAAGTACACTGAGGAAGGCTGGCATAACTAATTTTTTACTTGCTTATACTGATTGACTTCTTTTTGTTTCATTTTAATTAAAAAACTGAGAGGTCACTCAAGCAACTCAGCTTGCAGACACAAGGGGGTGGTAACCGTTAGCTGGAAGAACAAACCTTACAGAATATGGTGTGAGTGTGCATCTTCTGTGCATAGGTGCTGTGAGTACAGACTGCCTTTTCCTAGCAAGGGCAATGTCTTTCACCTTGCTGTCATCAGTCAGAAAGCTGTTACTGTTGTGTGTGAGCACTCAACATTAGCTCCTGCTCAGTCTGCCTGGGGGCAGCAGCATGGTATGACTGGCATCTGTCTGTTCAATTAACCCATGAGAACACCCTCTATAAGCATCTGTAGTTGACTTCCTAAGTAGTGCAGTGACTTACAAGTCGTACAAATCAGAGTCTCTTGTGTGCGCTGATTTCACTCTTTGACAGTAGCACAAGTTGCTACCAGCGTAAATAAGAGATAAACAAAGCATGAAGAAAATGATTAACCTATAAGATCCTTCTGATGGTCTGTAATTATTTTATCAAGTGTTTATTCATAATTGCTTGCCAGTTACAGAGGAGTAGTGCTGGCTACAGCTGTTCATCTCTGGCTGAAAAAATAGCCTTCATTGCTATTCTTAGAAGGTAGATGCGGTTTAGATCTCTGGTATTTTAATTGGTTTTATCATTCCAGGATGAAATCATCACATCCTCAGGTGGGGAGCTACTCCTGGAGCCATGTGGACAGCAGAAGAATCCACCAGACTACAGCCCTTTATTTGAATAACTGATCCAGGACCAACAGGAATTCATTCTGGATAAGTGTAGTAATAGATAGTTACAAAAGTAAACAATGGAAGTAGTTAATCCACTTTCAAAGCCACTGGTCTTGTGGCCAAAAAGTATCCTCATTAGGAAGCCTAAAATATTTCTGGTTTGCATCTGAACTATCATCATCATTTTTCATACTGCTAGCACTTGAAAGGTGAGAAATTACCAGCAAATTGCAAAAGAGGACTACTTCAAAAAAATTTTCAAGGGGTTGTAGCCAATTGCACGGAATGCTAAGCTCCTGTTCTAATTTTCTCATGATTTATACTGCAAGAAGCATGGGCAGGAGCCATTCACAGAGTACTGTATGAAGTATCAGTGTTGGTGAACAGAATCTGTGTTCCAAAACAAGTTTTGACTGTTTCTGTTGACAATTTCATTACCCAGTGGTGCACTTTGATGACAAGAGAAGCAGCCTTCAAACATCCCTGTGAAGTTTGTGATTGTGTATGTAATTAGATGTAGCTTGAAAGTTGCCATTATGCTTTTGAATTCAGGCCTACAAAGTTCCCCACAGCAGAGACAGAATAAGGTCAAACACATTTTATTTACATTTTCATGAAGCCCAACAGCCTTGGAAGGAACTTTACTCCTGTACAGTGAGTGGTCAGTTTATTCTAAAGGAAACAGATTGATTTGCTGCAATTCTCTCACTGGCCTTGTCATGCTTTCCACTTTTAGATGTGCAAGAGACACAGTGGATATTGCTAGCTTTACTTTGCTATAGGACTGGGTATTTTCCTTTTCTGAGAGGGAGGGGCTGGTGTATTTATAGATAAAAAAGGTACAGCTAATTACATTATCATCATGCTATTTTATGTGTAAATACAAGGTGCACACAATGTGTTCCTGATCCAGTTACTATAAATATTAACTCCATGAAAATAGACCAGAAGCCTAGATCTGTGGGGCAGTTGCTTAGTGCTTGGACTAGAAAAATAATAAAATCTCATCACAGTACACATAGGAAAGGCACACTGAGCATATTTCTATAAGCTACTGTTTGGGCAGTCTCTGAGCCATGTGGGGTTCTGTTCAAAATCCAGGTGAAGACCTCTCCTGAACCTCCTCTCTCCTGAACCCTTTCTCCTCAAAGAGTCATTTGACTCTTGACTCATTGTTACCTTCTGTGCTCTGTCTGATCTAGTTGGTAAAATCAACCAGGAAAAGAAACTTGTCTTATCCAAGCCAATAAAGCACACTAAACATTTCAGGTGCTACAACAGTAAATATTTGTGGTAGTAATAACAGTATTTTTTTATAATTAATTTTATGGCTAGAACATATTACAGTTTTTTGTACACTAGATTCATTCTTGGTCAGGAACCTTTTCTTCTCTTAACATTGGGTTTTGTATTATTTAATCCATCAATGTTTGTGGCCTGTGAAAAGAAAATTCTATTGAACTTCCCACAGAGACAGCTGGGTAGTTTCTGTACTAATCACTTGCCACACTGGCTTGGGAGGTTTTAAATAGTTACTGTTAGCACCATGGAACAAAGCAAGTTAGGACACAGCAAATAAGCAAAAAAGATCTGCTTTCTCTGAGAAAACCAGCTCTGCACTTTCTCCCTCCTTCAGAGGCACCTCAAGTGCCACCTCAGCCTCAGGTTATTCACAGCTGCAGTTTTTTCATGGAACAACTCAACCTCTACTTAAAGGAGAATGGAAAGAGACCTTTAAAATTATAAAAAAATATAAGTATCCACAACTTATGTCTAAAACCAGAAAGCAGTAGGTGACTGTACAGGATTAGACACCTAGGTGTCTTTACACACCGGTGTTTTGCCTTTATGCACTGAAGAAAATCCCCCCAAAAAACCAAGAACAACAACAAAAAAGCTCCCATGAAATGCTACCTTTTCTTTGGAAAAGGTGCTAGGCATGCTAGAAGACATGCAAATTCCAAAGTTTTTGGAAGATTACTCAACACAATGCTGTGAATGTTTGTAGACAGAATATTGAAGAACTTGTTCCACATGCAATTCACATTCAGAAGCTGATAATAATACAGCTCTTTATTTGTAGTGACACAGTTCCCAGCAACTGCGTGTGTTTTGTTTAGCATTAAGAAGGCCTGGAAATAATAGCTCTTTAGCTTATGTAGCCTCTTGCAATGTAATTAACATTATTTTCACTTCAGAGCACATATTCTAATTTTCTAATTTTTGTCTCAATTCCATCAATTTCTCACTCTAAGTTTTACCTAGTTTTAAAATAAAGCCCTTTTAAGTTCCCCTGCAAATGATATTACTTGGAATATTGCAATTTCTCCTGAGAGTTTTACTCTCCTAATAAATGGCAGAATTCACAAGTAAAGGAATTGCTTGTTTTTTCTCAATTAAGCCTCACAGAAATAATGAAAAGTATTCAGCCGATTCATAGACTTAGCAAGAAAGAAATCTAAACAATATGTAACCAGATGCAGCTGCAATGAAATACTGTACACTTGGCTGAAGATAAGTTTTGAAGGAAACAAAAGGAAATCATAGCTAGCAGAAACTAAGAACAGAAGCTTTCCTTGACAGAGATGTGCAGCTGTTGCCAATATACTTGAGTGAAGTACAAGTGTGATGTTTTCTAAGTTTTCTAACAGGTGCTTCTTGCTGCCTAAGGGGGCAACAAGACAATAAGTGGACTATGAAAAGGTAGCCCAGTTAGTAGGAAGGATAGAAGATAAAGCAGTGAAGGAGTAAATATGGAAAATTAGGAAAATAAGAAAGAGCAAAATGTGCTTATCCTGTTCTTTTGAAAGCATTTTGGATTTTTGCTGCTCTGGGAGGAAGACTGGGCACTGCTACCTCTTCTCTCTGCTAGTCTGGAGGATTTCAGCTTTGAGCTAAACCTACCTTGGAGGTAGATTTGACACCCTTGAATCTGTAAGAGCTGGGCTGGTCTGTGCTGCAGCCTTGAATGCTTCCCTCTCTCTGCCTCTCCATGTAGTGCTGGCTGCAGCTGCTCATCACTGGCTGAAAAAATGGTCCTGGTGCTGTTATTTCCTTGGCTGCCAGGGGTAGCTTTAGCTCATCCCCCTGGGACCTTCCAGTCTTGCTTCCTGACCTGTTTTTCTAGTGGTAAGTATTGGTGAGTTGTAAGAGGAGCATGTAAGAGGGGCATGTTATTTCCTTATAAGATTCCCTGTCAATATTTCTTGCTGATGAGACCACCAGGAATTCATTGAGAGTTCTGCTATGGTAATTATGGTATGGTGTTTGATAAAGAAAAGTGCCACAGCAGTAAGGTAAACTTTTAAACTTTAAAAGGAATTAACTTTTCTCACATGTGTTTCATACCAACAAAATATGGCACACAAGGTCTCAAGCTTGTTTGCTTGAGGTATCTTTGAAAAAAGCCTCTCTTGAGGATTTATTCTTGCTTCTTCATAGATCCACAGATAAATCTGTTCTTTTGAATTTTGTTTTAATCTGTTATTGTACACAGACATCTCCAATTTAATACTGCCCTCTTCTCTAAAAAAGAACAAAAACCAAGCAAAGAAATTGACAACAATCATGGATGAGATTTCCAAGGCTACTCAAAGAATGTAGATGCCAGTCTAACTCTTGTAATTAATGGAACAATGATGTAGTATGAGTTTTTGCATATTAGTTTTATAGTAGATGTCCTGGATTATTCTTTTAAGTGATAAATCCCTATTATTCTTAAATGTTATGCTAAATAAAATAATATTTCCCTCAAGAAAAATATACCTAAAAATTGGTTTTATAACAGATTAATTTTCAGGCTGAGTAGAAACTATTTCAAAAACCAGATTCAGAGGGAGAATTTCCACTAGATTTCAGTTACCTTGAATCAAATTAAACCTATTTCTTGGCTGAGGTGAGGCAGTATTAATACACTGACTACAGTAAAAGACTTCCGTTTTGTATGAACTAGGAATCCACTTCTGCGCAGACTTCCCTCGAAACACCAGAAACCTGAATATTGAGCATTAATGGAGTTACACCACATTTCACTGCAGTCTGAATTCTCCCATTTATCACAAACCTGGTAGACTGTGGTAGTTCACAGTGGAAGAAGCTTTTCTCTTTCTATTAATAAATTTGTTACCATAATTTACAGGTCAGAGCTTATTTGTCAATGGTTTTCAGGGTCTGCCTTTCTTTTCTCTCTTATTGTGGCTTTGCTTTAAGATTCATTTTTCCCTTCCCAAGAGGATGGGGTGACCTCTGTGAAGTGTGTCCCTGACCAGGCTATGAATTGCAAAATGAGTTGTTTGCACTTGACCAGGTGTTTGCTTTGTGTTTCCTGAGATGAATCTCCTGGATACATACTGTCAGATGATAATGATGCATAATTGATTTTTATAGCTAATTTCTTGCCATGCAAGTGCTGTGTGAAAGCATCTCTTCAAATATTTGTTTACTGCCAGTGATTAATCCTGTAGCTTGTATAGCTACATGATGGCCCATAGCTAATGCAAATTTTCTACTAGGTTGGAGCCTTCAACAGGTTTAGGTTCTTCTCTCTTGGAATTTCTTCCAGTAGTTTTAAATGAAGGTAACATTTTATGGTATTTTTATTAAACAACAATAAGTGACTTTTCTTAAGGAAGAGAAATAACTTCAAAAGAGACTGGACATTTAGTTTGGTCCTATATTTGACCTCATGATGTATGTACAAAGAAAACAATTGGGATGTTAATGTCTCCTTTAAAGTTTAGCTGCCATTTCTCCCCCATTCTCAGTTTTAATGAGAACTGTGGGTGGGAGAAGGTCATAAGCTCGCAAGCCATGGAGAGAAAAGAGAGGAAGCAGGACTGGTTTATTCCATACAAATTTCCTTATAACAGCAGGCAGAGCTTGGATTAAGTACTTCCTGAGATGCACTGGTTTTCCTGCTTACCATTCAAACTAGTGTGGTCACTACTTATCCCTCACACAACAGCAACAGGAAGAAATTCCTAGTGGGTAAGAAAAAAGCCCTGAAGTTGTTCAGTAAGTAATGTTG